TCGGTGAGGATTAACAACAACAAAATAATAGAAAGGTAGAGTATATTCTCTCGCCTTTGGCTGACTTGCTGTGCTAATGAAACACTAGAAAATGGGGCACAAGCATAATCTTAATAAGCAGTCATAAAAAAGCACACATATATACTACTATTTGTAATACTTTAAATAATAAAATAATTTTTTAAAAAAATGAACATAAAGTTTAGTTAAATAGCTGGTGAATCCATTTATTCCAACTATGGTTAATGTAGTCAAACCCTAATGTTGGTTTTTGCCCCCTAACTCATTAACCTGATATTTAACATTTTGTTTGAGATTGTGTTGAGAATTCCTACAGCTATAAACCTAGTACACCAAGCTACAATCACCTTGGAATCTGACACATGGGCCCATTCAAAAGCACAACTAAAATTAGAAAAGTAATCATTATATTCTAAAAATAACAATTACTAATACTATTTTTACACTTCATCAGGTACCTATATGTGTAATCTCATTTAATTCTTAGCACAACTCTTGTTCTGAAGTATTTCTGTCACTGCTATTTCACAAATAAAGAAACTAAGGCCCTGATTGAAGACATGACTGGTGCACAGTCAAGCATCTAGCTCAATATCTCCTGACTGCTGGGGCCACTCCTATTTACACTCCTAAAAGTCTCTTCTTTCTTATTCTTACCTCAGTTCCTTGCCTTGGACTTCCTCTACCTGAATTAGAATTCTGTCCCTTGAAAGCTGGGTGAAGGGTACATGGTGACTTTGTACCATTTTTGCAACTTCTTGTGAGTCCTACTCTTTCAAAATAAATTATACCAGTAACAAAAAAAAAAAAAATGATCTGAAGAGTAGAAAAAATCAGGTCAGTTGTCCAGTTGCTTTGAAAACCCAGTAAAAGTTGCCTCTGCTAATTTTTAAACTTTTTCATTAAGTCAGTTAGTTGTTAGGTCATCTTTTGTGGACCCAGCTGAATTTCCTAAGAGTCAGGCACGACTGAGTGCTGTCCTTCATGGAATTCACCCAAGATCCCTTACATCAGGCTCTCTCTAGTACATTTTCTCTAGGATAACTTCGTGGTTATGAGGTACACAGAAGGAATGCTAGCATGCAGTCAAGCAAGCCGAGAACGAGAACCAAGCCAAAAACTATTTCTAGACTTGGTGTCAAAACTAAATTCTATGCTTTGACTTCATTTAGTGGTGCCTGCCACCTGTGCAAATACTAGGGGACCTACCAACACATTATCTGGTGGCCTCCATGAAAATATTGCTGCTTGGGGTCCCATCACTAGGGGGCAACCTAAATTTCCCTGTGGTAGAAGTGATATAACTCTAAATTCTGATGAACAAGGAAGAATAAGAAGGGAATCTGTATAAATTAGAGGGGTCAGTATATCCCTTCGTTCTGATTTCTAATCACATAAATAATTGATCCTTGTATGTTCTACTTCACTGGTAAAGAGGAAGAAGGAAGACCCACTCCTTAGTAGGTATTTGACTCACATAAGATTATATAATTATTGATAATTGTGTCCGTAACTTTGAGGCTTAAATTGGGGGGAAACAACCAACAACTTTATATCAAGGATCTAGCACATGCCAAGAGTTAAGACATAGCCCACCCCTCCAGGATTGTATGGTCTGGTGGGAGAATAAAGATCAGTGTCATCTGAGGAAGGTGAAAGTCATTCGGATTCAAAGGCCAGAGACACTCCATTGTTGGAGAATCAGAAAAAGCTTTGTGATTGTGAGTGTGCTAGGTAGGGGAACCAAGACAGAGCTTCAAATGAATTTTGCATCTCTTTTTTTTGTAGGCCCATAACAGAAACCTGCTGTCCATAGATTTCGATCATATAACACGCACAGGAAAGATCTATGATGACCATCGGAAATTCACCCTTCGAATTCTTTATGACCAAACTGGACGACCTGTTCTGTGGTCTCCTGTAAGCAGATATAATGAAGTGAACATCACGTATTCACCTTCAGGACTGGTGACGTTTATTCAAAGGGGGATGTGGAATGAAAAAATGGAATATGACCAGAGTGGAAAAATAATTTCAAGAACTTGGGCTGATGGGAAAATTTGGAGCTATACCTACTTAGAAAAGGTAAGTATATGGGGAAAATAAACTAGTTATGAGATCTGACTGAGAATATTGAAAGTGGTCCTAATTACCCACCTTGGTAAGAGCTGGCAAGAGAAAAGTCTTTGTTCTGGGGGTGTGTGTCGGGTGTGTGTGTGTGTGTGTGTGTGTGTGTGTGTCCTATAAGAATAAGCTGTTTTGCAACTGAAAACTTTCCCTAACCCCACACTCTGCCACCTACTTCAAATTGAAGTCAGGATAATGGCTTAGCTTTCTCCTCATTTGAGCATATTCAGTCATGCTCTTGAAAATGTATCTTTATTATTATGAAAGCCCATACTGAGGAAAATAGGTAGAAAATTATAAAATTGTGTGTTGATGTATCTTAGCTCTGGAAAAGAGCCTCTTACACAGAGGACGAAGAATTCTAATTGTGTTAGGATAGTCAGTGACATTTTAGTAGTATACATTTGAGGACTAATTTTCACAAGTAATCAACTGTCAGAGGGAATTGTGGCAGTGGAGCTCATTGGTTATAGTCCTTTGTGTACAGCGAGTCTCCAGTAGCATCCATGATAGGAACTCGTGGCCTCTGTCTGGTAAGAATAGACAAGGACTTTAATCCCGCCACCAAAACCATTTGTCGAACATCAGCCGTCACACAGCAAAATACCTTCTAGCCAGATCAGTAGCAGAGGACAATAACAGAAATTGATCTCTATCTGCCATCTCAATTTCTAATAGCCTAAGATAGTGTCTCTTGTTTCCTCAATCTATCCATTCAACTGAAATTACCAGTGCTGAATTAATTTCTGAGAAAATTGAAAAATGCTTTCCCTTGACCAGTCAAGGGTAATGAGCACAAGGTGACCCTAGAAGCTCTTAGAAAAGTTACAGGAATTCATAGATCACAAGGCAAAATTTTGCTTTTGCACCCAACGATGCCAAGCCTTTCTGATATACCCCCAGGGTTTCAAACAAAAGTGTGCCTGCCAGTGGTTGTATGTCATTATAAAAAATGATTGTAGCCGAAACCGGTTTAGCTCAGTGGATAGAGCGTCGGCCTGCGGCCTGAAAGGTCCCAGGTTCGATTCCGGTCAAGGGCATGTACCTGGCTTGCGGGCACATCCCCAGTAGGAGATGTGCAGGAGGCAGCTGATCGATGTTTCTCTCTCATCAATGTTTCTAACTATCTCTCTCCCTTCCTCTCTGTAAAAAATCAATAAAATATATTTAAAAAAAAAATGATTGTACTATTTCCCAGAGTCAGTCACTGGGGAATTTGCCAAGTTGGAAATGCCTAGGAGATAAAGCTGGCCCCACTTGGGAGGCAGGATAAAGGAGGGAGTTTTCTGCTGTATCCCCCCGTCCTTTTCTGCTGAAGAAATCTATTATATCTATATTCTCCACACTGGGAACATATGAATCTTATAGAGTGGGACTTTCCTCTTTTGAATTGTAATAACAAGAATGACTGGCAAAATCATATGACTGATGTCCACAAAGGGCTGAACCTCTTACAAAATTAACCGAATCCAAATATTTGGTGTTATGTTTACATAAGCAAGACATATGATGACCTTCATATAAAAAAAGATGCCACTGTAATGAAATATAGGCTGGCTTATTTTTCAGGAGTGAGGATGGGTTTGCAGTGCTTCTTTCATGGGTCCTACATGTGGCTAGTGCAATAGCTAGCTCTCTTTAGGGAAACTACATGGGTTTAAACTCATAACCCCAACCTCATTAGCACTGTAGTCTGGCCCCTGAGCTAATTGCCTATGGATAGTTGCATCTGGCTCTCAGAAGACTTTCCCTTTAGGCTATCTATGCAATAACAAAAGAGCCTATTGAACACTTACATTTCAGCCCTGCATGCAGTATTAGCCTCGGAAGCAATTTTATTGTTTCTCTTTTCTGAATTAGCTGATTATTTCATCAAACTTACTTGAGTGAAGAATCATGTGAAGCAAACTTCACATGAGTTCTCTTTGCAGAAACTTAGTTGGCAATAATTCTTTCAAAACAAAACAAAGAAAATTATGTGAGACTGTCAGTGTCTTCAGTGGACAAAAATAAGACCTTATTGACATGGAATAATGTATCAAGAACAGCCCGGTGACTTCCAAAGACTAGTTTCTTGACAAGCGAGACAAACCAAATCACTTGTGCCTTTTAGTTTATTTTTGTCCCTTTCTTGATTTCTAATTTGTTCTCTAATTAAAACATAGCCCCTGACTTAAGCAATCCTATTATGCAAAACTCAGAACCTACAAAATACATGGTTCTTTGCTTTCTAAAAATTATTTTCCATGGCATTGCAATGTTAGGTGATAACTAATTCACTGAATAGATGTGATGATTAAATGAAATAACTTAATATAAAGCACCCTAGCACATCTTGTCATTCAAAAAAGTGAGTTTCTTTCTATTTGAATACTGCATTATAGTATTTATTTTAAAGTTGATAACTTAAATTGGAGGGAAGAAATTAAAGCATCTTTGAAATTGTGATTCTAGGGGAAAGAATATTGAATTTATAAAATCCTATTTGCATGTAACTTTTTCAATGATGTAATGAGGTTCTCTGTCTTCCTATGCTCATTTCAGTCCTCTCTTGAACATGGCCTTTGCTTGCACATTTTTTTCACTATATCTGGGGGAGAGCAAGGACAAAGAGGCTGGCTTTTGTAGTATATTTTAAAGTACAAATTCTCAAACTTTAAAATGTATATTTCTTTTTATATCTCAAAATACCTCTGGTATTACCTCTGTAAATTTGCTTGCCATCCCTATACCATGATATATTTTAAAAGCAACAGCAGATATTTCACCTGAAGGTGCAGAAATTTTGTAAAATTTCTTTGACTTCCTCTAGAATAAGTGAAAGTTATAGGATCATTTTTATGCACAATGGTTTGTAGCCATTAGGAGAAAAATAATTATTTGGGTAATAGCTGAAGTTGCTTAAATAATCTCTTCTCTATTAAAAAATCAATTATTGTTTCTTAAATTTTCTGTGTGGTCATTAATTCTCTATTTTGATTTATGAGACTCCTCTGAATTAATTATATTTAGAAGACTTGTGGAGCTAAAATTTTGTATTACAGTAAATGTAAATCTTTCAGCTTCCTGAAATCATTCTTAAGAACTTCATTTCTAAGATGCATTTAAATATATTTTATAATCATTTAATAAGATGCTTTAGTCTGATACATTTACACAAAATTGCCTCTTTGGGGTTGAAAATTTCAAAGGCAGCCTGGAGGGACAGATGCAGCCTGTGGCCATGAGCTTTCAGGTGGCCCCACACTGACATCTGGTGGTTATTCGAACTTCTACCATTTCATTTCTGTTGTTTAAAGGAGTACTGGCATACAGGCGTGATTGTTCTTTTCCTCATTTTCTTTTCAATAATCTCTTTAAGACCTCACAATCAATTTTACAAAATAAAAAGTCTTCCACTCTATTGTTTAGACTAATAGGAAATGGCCTTTCATCCTTTAGCAGCACTGTGGGCATTGTATGGACCCCTAAGCATTGTTTTTGAACAAACATAATAATGCCCACCCAAAGTGAAATAGCAGCCAAGTGAGAGCTAAATGGTATTCTGACAGCACAATGGTTACATTCATGAGATTTCTAATCATGTCATCCACATTCTTTCATTGACAGGGAGCTTTAAAATGGACTAGGGAGTTTTAGAGACAGCGCAGCATCAGCACCACCTAGAACAGGGTCAGGCAGTGGTTGACTGCAGCGTGGAGGATATGAGCAGGGGAGAAAAAATGGTGGCGATGTGCAATCAATGTTTGGCAAGGTTGATACAGCTACTGGGAAAGGCATGGCCCTAGCAGGCTGATACTAGATAATGTGTGAAAGCCACATAGTGATTGTCTCTGGCCTGCATCACAGGTGACAGATGTTATTTGTTTATGACCAGTTGATAGAAGAGAGTGAAAATGAGCTGGGAAATCTGACTTTTGGCATCGAGGTCATTAAAGACATTTCCCACCAATTCGCCCCAGGTTCTGCTTGGTCAAGGAGGAGGTTCTCCCTTTGTGTCCTCATGTCCACACAGGAGTGCAGTGGGGTTTTCAGAGCTGCAGGTTGTCCACAGGTGGTGAGGTGACAGAGTTTCCACCTGTAGCTCTGTATCCCCTGGTGGAGTACATGATTGAAAAGAAAGGATGAGTGAATGAGCAAATAAATGCTGACTTGGACTTCACAGTATTGACATGTGATTCAAAATCAACAATTCTCAGAAGGTCAGGGAGGATATGTAGTTTCAAAGACTTAGATGTACATTATGTGTGTTGCTATAATTCATATAAATATTTATGTAACTTATATTTAGAAGATGAAAAGTTACCTATGTTTTCATAACAGAAACTTAAGAAAGTAAACCTCAACTAAGTCTTTTTGCTTGATAAGGGAATTCTCAAGAAGGGAGGGGTAAAGCTTCCTTGGGGAGTTACATCAGAATTTCTCGGAGTGAGCAATTTTTCTTTTTCTTAAAAGATGAGATTTAAATGCTTTTCAATTAGAAATAGGGTTGACTCCTCCCAAAAACAGTGCTCTTTTTTATGTCTAGATTCAAGATTAAAATAAGATAAGCCATTATCATTGAAACTAGAGGCCCAGTGCACAAAATTCATGCACAGGAGGGGGGTCCCCTCAGCCCAGCCTGAACCCTCTCCAATCTGGGACCCATCAGGGGATGTCCAACTGCTGGTTTAGGCCCAATCCCTCTCATCAGGCCTAAACCGACTGTTGGACATCCATCTCATACCTGGTTGCCCCCAAATGCCCCCCCTGTCAGCCTGGTCACCCCACGCAGCCTGCTGTTCAGTCATTTGGTCATCCCTCACTAACCTCCCTGCCGGCCTGGTTGTAGGCAGCCATTTTATGAGGGTGTGAGGGTTAATTTGCATATTACCTCTTTATTATATAGGATACCTTATAAAAGCAAAGTATTACATATGCCTCAACAAATAACTGTTTCTGACATCCAGATCAGGTTAGGGAGAGAGGGCTTGTATAATCAGAGGATTTTCCACTTTAATGGCATGTTCCCCTAATACAGCTTAAAGCATGAATTGCAAAGCAATAATAATAATATTTTATGCAACTTTTCATGAAGACGTCTAGTACAGGAAGTCAACCAACACTTTTTGGTGACTATAACTTAATGTGTGGCAAACCTTGCCCTCTATTTACCTCCTTCCAATTCATCTCTAAATGGAAACTGCAGTAACCTTTCTAGAATACGAACTTGAGTGTTTCTCACAGCTGTGCGAATGTCCTGACCTTCAACTTGCTTCCAGTGTTTCCCTGTTGCCAACATGTTTAAGTCCAAACTCCTTAGCATGGTTTAACAAGCCCAGTATGATCTAGATCCAGCCTACCTAACTGCCCTCATCTCTTGCCATTCACCACCACTTCCACCCCAACATACCCATGCTCTAGCCATACAAAATTCCTCTCATTCTCTGAAAAAAAAAATGTTTTCTTTCTTATCCAGACCCCCACAATACTATGCCCTCTGTCAAGATTACTCTTTCTTGCCCTAACTGGTTTGGCTCAGTGGCTAGAGCATCAGCATGTGGACTGAAAGGTCCCAGGTTTGATTCCAGTCAAGGGCATGTACCTTGTTTGCGGGCACATCCTCAGTGGATCATGTGCAGGAGGCAGCTGATTGATGTCTCTCTCTCATCGATGTTTCTAACTCTCTATCCTTCTCCCTTCCTCTCTGTAAAAAATCAATAAAAATATATTTTTTAAAAAAGATTACTCTCTACTCTGCTCCATCCACTTCTCTGCCTTCACCTAGCCAACCCCTAGTCATCCTTTAGGTCTCAAAGTAGATGTACCTTTCACCAGGAAGCCTTCGCTGACCTCTTTAAGTCTGGGTTAGCTGCTCTTCCTCTGCCTTCCAAAAGCACCCTGTAATTCCCGTCATAACACATTTTAACTATATTGTAATGGCTTGGTTACTTGTCTCTCTCCATTAAACTGTAAGTTCTATGTGGATAGACATCATTATTGACCACTACTGTATCAACTAGGACTCACCATAATGCCTGGCACATAGTGAGTGCTCAATAAATTTGTATTGAATGTCTGGATATGTATTTTCTTTCATCTCTTCCACTTCAGTGGTACATATTATGCTATTTTGCCTTTGTCTCCTTTCAGTCCGTGATGCTTCTCTTACACAGCCAGCGGCGTTACATCTTTGAGTATGACCAATCGGATTGTCTGCTCTCGGTCACCATGCCTAGTATGGTGCGCCACAGCTTACAAACCATGCTTTCAGTAAGCTACTACCGGAATATCTACACCCCACCGGACAGTAGCACTTCTTTTATCCAAGACTATAGTCGAGATGGCCGACTGCTACAGACCCTGCATGTGGGGACAGGGCGAAGAGTTTTATACAAGTACACCAAGCAAGCAAGGCTGTCTGAGATTCTCTATGATACCACTCAGGTCACATTAACATATGAAGAGTCTTCTGGAGTGATTAAGACAATACACCTGATGCATGATGGCTTCATTTGCACAATCAGATACAGGCAAACAGGTTTGTTATGAAAGGGTGGTGATGTGTATACCACATCATATTTTTAATGAGATTTTTGCTGCCCACAGTATGAGATAGAAACAATAACCTATAGACATTGAATCCAAAAAACTGTCATTTTACTTATCAAAGTATCTGCTATTAACAATTCAAAATACATGCTTCGTGAAAGCTGATTCCTTAAAAATATGCAGTGTATTTCTCTTTTTCTCTCTCATTTTTCAAGAAAACTGAGATCTAAGTACCTAGTCTAACTGTGTACCCGTTCCTACTCACCACCAAGTCTTCCCAAAGATGCAGCTGCAAGATATGAATCTCACTGAAACTAGTTCATGCCCTGTATAACTTCTGTCTCAGCTGATGGCAAATTATCTTCAGAAGTCAGAATTTTGTATTATATTTCATCCTTGGAGTTTCTAAAGTGCCAAAATCCAGTTCCTTGAATACTGGACTTTGTCAAAAACCTGACCCTCTGATTTTGTAACCCAGGTTAAATGAATTGAAAGTATTTTTGTCAGTGATTGTAAAAAGAAAGCATGTTTATATCAGTTTTCTCTTCTCAGCCAGTGAATGGGTTATTGCTTCTATAGTTCCTCTAATTCAATTATTCTGTAATATAGAATATTTTAATTTTTTTCAAGTCTGGTGACCACACTATGAGAATATATATAGTACTATGAAATGATATACCCAGACATTAGATATCAGAGGTTAATCTCATATTTTATTTTGAAAGTAAAAGCATTAATACTAAAGAAAATAACACTAGACCTTTCTGGTTGCTCAACATTAAACACCTAGCTTTGTTCTCATTATATTGATTTTTATTCCTCCAGGACCTCTTATTGGACGCCAGATTTTCCGATTCAGTGAAGAAGGTCTTGTGAATGCTCGGTTTGACTACAGCTACAACAACTTCCGCGTCACCAGCATGCAAGCTGTGATAAATGAAACCCCTTTGCCTATAGACCTGTACCGATATGTTGATGTCTCTGGTAGAACAGAGCAGTTTGGAAAATTTAGTGTGATCAATTATGACTTAAATCAGGTCATAACTACTACAGTGATGAAGCACACCAAAATCTTCAGTGCCAATGGCCAAGTTATTGAAGTCCAATATGAAATCCTAAAGGCAATTGCCTACTGGATGACTATTCAATATGATAATATGGGCCGAATGGTAATATGTGATATAAGAGTAGGAGTAGATGCCAATATAACAAGATATTTCTATGAATATGATGCTGATGGACAACTTCAAACTGTTTCTGTAAATGATAAAACCCAGTGGCGTTATAGTTATGATCTGAATGGCAACATCAACCTTTTAAGCCATGGGAATAGTGCTCGTCTTACTCCTCTCCGATATGACCTCCGGGATCGCATCACCAGACTAGGAGAAATTCAGTATAAAATGGATGAAGATGGCTTTCTGAGGCAGAGGGGAAATGATATCTTTGAATATAATTCTAACGGTCTGCTGCAGAAAGCCTACAATAAGGCTTCTGGCTGGAGTGTGCAGTATTACTATGACGGGCTTGGACGACGTGTTGCCAGTAAGTCCAGCCTAGGACAGCACCTCCAGTTCTTCTATGCAGACCTTGCCAACCCCATAAGAGTTACTCATTTGTACAACCACACAAGCTCAGAGATTACATCCCTGTATTATGATCTCCAAGGTCACCTTATTGCCATGGAGCTAAGCAGTGGTGAAGAATATTATGTAGCCTGTGATAATACAGGCACCCCACTGGCTGTGTTCAGCAGTCGAGGTCAGGTGATAAAAGAGATATTGTACACGCCCTATGGAGATATCTATCATGACACTTACCCTGACTTTCAGGTCATCATTGGTTTTCATGGAGGACTCTATGATTTCCTTACTAAATTAGTGCACCTGGGGCAAAGGGATTATGATGTTGTTGCTGGTAGATGGACGACGCCTAATCATCACATATGGAAACAGTTGAACCTCCTTCCTAAACCATTCAACCTCTACTCCTTTGAAAATAACTACCCAGTTGGCAAAATTCAAGATGTTGCAAAGTATACCACAGGTATTTAAACAGTGTAAAACTTTACACTAGAGAAAAGTGATAACTCAATGGTGTTTATCACATAATCTCAATGCCTTTGTAAATATGCTTCCTCTTCCTGCCAGTTAGCCCACAAGTTATTGTGCAGTTACTCTCTTCCTTAGTCTTCTGGAGTGAGAAAAACTGTTCATAAATACGATGCTTTTGCATTGAAGTATATCTTTACTTCCCTTGTAAGCTTTCTTTTTGTAGTTTTCATGCTTAAAAACTTACACAAATAATTTTATAAAAGAAAAATTCAAGATCTGTTGCATCAAATAAATCTAATATCACAGTCTGTGTGGCCTTAATACCACTACATGTTAAGAATTTCAGTACATACCCATCTGTGTGGCCTTAATACCACTACCACGTTAGGAATTTCAGCACATGCGCTAGCTGGTTTGACTCAGTGGATAGAGCATCGGCCTGCAGACTGAAGGGTCCCAGGTTTGATTCTGGCCAAGGGTAAATGCCTGGTTTGTGGGCTCAATCCCCATTGGGGGCATGCAGGAGGCAGCTGATCAATGATTCTCTCATTACTGATGTTTCTATATCTCTCTATCCCTCTCCCTTCCTCTCTGAAGTCAATAAAAATATATATGTATAAAAAAGAATTTTAGTACAAAAAAAAGGACCTCACCATGTAGCTCAGTTGGTTAGAACATTGTCCCGATACACCAAGGTTTCAGGCATGATCCCTGTCCAGGGTACATACAAGAATCAACTAATGAATGCATTAATAAGTGGAACAACAAATCTCTCTCTCTCTCTCTCTCTCTCTCTCTGTCTTTCTCTCTCCCTATTTAAGAAAAATAAATTTTTAAAAATAAAAACAAGAATTTCAGTGCAGTGAAATGAGCCTATTTGTGATTATCCATGAATCAAAAGGTTTCCCAGTAGAGGACCATATGTTTTAGAGTGAGTGATATAAGGGGGAATTTTATTCCTAACTTCCCATTGACCAAACAAATTGAAGGCAGGAGAGGCATCTTTAAAGCTTTCCATAAAGTTTATAAACTAAGAGCTTTAAAATTTTTTCCCTTTAATTTTGTGTCTCATAGACATTGGCAGTTGGTTGGAGCTATTTGGTTTCCAGCTACACAATGTACTACCTGGATTTCCCAAACCAGAGTTAGAAAATTTGGAATTAACTTATGAGCTTCTACAGCTTCAGACAAAAACTCAAGAGTGGGATCCTGGAAAGGTTAGTATATTTTACCAACTCTACTTAACTGAAAAAACAAAGACAAAAAAAACACACAAAAATAACAGGAGAACATTCAACACCATGAAATGGTATTAACATATATTTGGTTACTTATTTTTGAGTTGTCTTTAATATTCAATAAAATATCATGATTAAGGACAAAGTAGAACAAAAGCTTTAATGGGGGAAGAATCAGGAGATTAGAGCTCTTGGAAAAGAAAAGACTAACATGTGACTTGATGACTACTGGGGTAGACAAGCACAGGAAAGAGGAAGTGAACTTATAAAATTCTGAAATGGGCTACCAAGGTCAATTAGAGAGTCTATATAAAGAAAATTGTTCATGAAAAGACATGAAAACATCAGATTTCCAACTGCAAAATAATCTAGGGCAAAGTGCATGAAGAGCGTGGGAATAACAGAATTAAATTATTTTGATAAAGAAAAAAATATATAAGCAGTGAAGCAAAAATAATATTACAGTGATAGTCTCTGGAAAAATATAAATACCAAAACCTTCATGTTTTAGCAGATGATTTTGTCAGGAGTATGAGGTGCAAATGAGAACAGGAAGGAACTTTTTCTTTTAATTGAAAAAATAATTTCTGTGTTAGCAAAAAAAAAATGGCTTTAACAACATAAAACTGAAATGTGTGTGGGAGAGCTTAAAATGTAAGTGTAAAAAAAAATAAGGGAAAAGAAATTTGAAATAAGTCCTATAGACTTTTCCTTTTTTGTAAATACATATAATATGTAAATGCTTTTTGTAATTAAAAGTCCTAAAGAAGTTTAGCAACATGTTGAAAATTGCTGAAGCTTTCTATTGGATACTTGAAGGTTCATTATTCTGTTCTCTGTTTCTCCATATGTTTGCAAATTTTCATAATAAAAAGGGTTTTTATTTTAAGTTCATGTAAAAAGGTCAGCAAACTTCTTGCTGGTTTGCTGTTGTTATTTATAAGGTCATAACTGCTTGAAAGCAAGAATAATGCCGTATGCATCTCTTTATATCTCCCTGTGCCTAACATATTACTCTACACACAGTCATAACAGCTAGTTGGTTTTAATTAAATTGGCAAACATGAAATGTCTTTGTTTGGGGGGAGCTGGACCCACTTAATTTGAAGTGCCTTCTAGCTCTCAATTTCTGTGCTATCAAGTTTGAACATATTTCCTTATGTTTAACTCACCAAGATACCAAGAAATGCATGCCAAGTAATCATGTCACCTGTTAGTCTTTTCTTTCCAAATCTCTGATGAAGAGATTCCAAATTTGGCTTGTTTTTAAATCACAAACCAGCAAATTGCAAGCCTTTGCTTTCCACAGTCAGCAACCATATGGCAGGTGTTTAATCCTGTACCACATTTGCACTGTGCCTTTCTTCTTTCCTAGACTATCTTGGGTATTCAGTGTGAGCTCCAGAAACAGCTCAGGAATTTCATCTCCTTGGACCAACTTCCCATGACTCCCCGATACAATGATGGGCGATGCCTTGAAGGAGGGAAGCAACCAAGGTTCGCCTCTGTTCCTTCTGTTTTTGGAAAAGGTATAAAATTCGCCATCAAGGATGGCATAGTGACAGCCGATATTATAGGAGTAGCCAATGAAGATAGCAGGCGGCTTGCTGCCATTCTCAATAATGCTCATTACCTGGAAAACCTACATTTTACCATTGATGGGAGGGACACTCACTACTTCATTAAGCTTGGGTCTCTGGAGGAAGACCTGGTGCTCATCGGTAACACTGGGGGGAGGCGGATTCTAGAGAATGGTGTCAATGTCACTGTGTCCCAGATGACTTCTGTGTTGAATGGGAGGACTAGACGGTTTGCAGATATCCAGCTCCAGCACGGGGCTCTGTGCTTCAACATCCGGTATGGGACAACGGTGGAAGAGGAGAAGAATCACGTGTTGGAGATTGCCAGACAGCGCGCTGTGGCCCAGGCCTGGACTAAGGAACAAAGAAGGTTGCAAGAAGGGGAAGAGGGTATTCGGGCGTGGACAGAGGGGGAAAAGCAGCAGCTTTTGAGCACCGGGAGGGTACAAGGTTATGATGGGTATTTTGTTTTGTCTGTTGAGCAGTATTTAGAACTCTCTGACAGTGCCAACAATATTCACTTTATGAGACAGAGTGAAATAGGCAGGAGGTAACAAAAAAAATCTCTGCCTTTGCGTCACCAAAGACTGCCTGTTTTTAAAACATAACACGGTTTATTGTATTGGTTTTCTAGATCAGAACTCTGTATATGTAAATATGGAGGGAAAACATATCCAACTGCCTTTCAATGTGACGGAAGATGGTATTTTAATATTGTTTAAACTCTTTAAGAAACGACAGATTTTTAGTTCTCGTGTGGCAGTATTCAAAATAACACAAGTAGAACTGAAACAGCTAAAAACAAAAGGTTTTCAGAAAGCACCACTTTAAATTTGTCGAGTCATGCATATATATATGTATGTGTGTGTGTGTGT